TACACGTGGCTGTTCTTTTAATTGATTTGCATGCACATTCCTTGGCCGTCCCTTCTGACCACGTCCTTTCCTCAAGCATTTCAATTCGTCAACCCCTCTGCGCATACCTCCTGCCCCCCACCCCCTTTCCCCCTCCCCTTTCTCTGTCCCAATCAGCCACGGAAGACACACAGCGAATGATGGCCATGCAGATGAGTGCAGGTACCGGTTCACATGGGTGAAGATGGGTGCAGTGGGCACCTTCTAATGCTCTCCCTGTTATACATTCCTCGTTCCCCCCCTCTCCATCCAGCCACGGACGACACGCAGCGAATGATGGCCATGCAGATGGGAGGGGTGGGCGCCGACCCTACCAAGGTACGTTTGTGACCTTACCAGATGGGTGCAGTGCGGTGGGCGCCGTTCCGACCAAGGTACATTGTGACCTTACCAGATGGGTGCAGTGCGGTGGACGCTGACCCTACCAAGGTGACGTACCAGGTCTATAGCGAATGTTGGCCATGCAGATGGGAGGGGTGGCGCCGATCCGACCAAGGTACGGCGGTGACACACCCACATGTACTTTAAAGGTGCTGACTTTTGAGTTGAGTGGCCAAGCCAAGCAAGGTGACGTTTCAGGTGTATAGCAGCTGTGGTGGCCATGGAGATGGGAGGAGCGGTGGGCGCCAATCCTACCGAGGTACGGTGGTGACCCACCCACCCAAGGTACGGCGGTGCAGACCGCAGCGAATGATGGCCATGCAGATGGGAGGAGCGGTGGGCGCCGACCCTACCAAAGGTATGGCAGTGGGGACACACCCACCCACACATGGATGTACTTTCAGACCAGACCTAGCAAGGTGGCGTATCAGGTGTGGGTAAAGGTGATGCCATGCAGCTGGGAGCGGTCGGTGTTGACCCCACCAAGGTACGGCGGTCAGTCACCCACACAGGGCTTTAAACCAAACCAGGTTAAAGCTCAAGGCCCAAATTGTTCAGGATTACTAAAGTTGACCCTTGGGTGGTGGGGGAGCTGAGTAGGAAAGTTGAGGTGTTGGAGGGGTGTAGGGGTTTGGTTTCGCCCAGCTTCTCGCCACACTCAAAACAAAATTCGCTGACTCAGCAAAGCCTAGGGGACGCTCAGGTTTGGTTGCGCGAGTCCCATATTGCACAAATATTACTCTTGCCAGTTTCCCGCACCACCTGTTCCATTCGCTGACTCAAATGTTCCGGCCAATCAGATGACTTCGTACATTTCGTAACCACAATTCGCCCAGCTAAAGCTGCAAAGCAGCACTCTATCAAGCTTACTAAACTTGCCTCGCGCGGCCCGCAATTTGGGCCTTGAGCTTTAAGCAAGGTGACGTACCTAAGGCACGGTAGGTGCCATTCTGTCGATATGTGGCTGCAACTGGGTGTTGTTAACTCCTGTAGAAAGTAATGCTGTTGAATGCTGGTGGGCACAGCGGGTGTCGATCCTACCAAGGCAAGGAGCCAGACCACCGTGTATCCTGAGTTAACAACATCCAGTGTGTGCATCCCTGAGTCCTGACCCTTTGATGTAAGCTATGCACGATTTGTTTAGCATATAATGGGCCTAAACCTCAACGGCATATCCTGGGTTGGCCTGGCTTTGTCTAAAAACGCATGGTCTGTGTATATGTATATTATATGCGTGTGTACATGGTCAGTGCTATCACTAATCGCCACAGTACATGTTGCTCGGTGCTGTTCCTCTCCCTATGGCATGTGTTTTTCCAGGTGCTTTCAGCAGAGAAAGAGGCTCTGGAGCTGACACAACCAATGGAGATGCTTCGTTTGTCGGAACAGAGAGCTATTGAGGTTCTCAGGAAGAGAATGCTTTAGTATGCAGTATAGCAAGTATTGAGTTACTTCATAGGTTAGAGGCAGTTCACAATGTGCAGTAACCAATTACAACAAATATACAGATAACTTTGTATGCACTTGCAATTTACAAGGTTGCTTTAGTCCCAGCATCTCAGGAACTACCCAGGTCAGAGAAAGTTTGTATAGGGCAATATCTGCCCATTGTCCAAGTTCATTGTGCATAACGGTGTTCCCCTATATGAAATTTATCTGCACGTTGTTGGGAGTGGTATGGTGTACAGTTTGTGGTGTGGTCCTGTCAGCGATTTCACTAGTCTTGTTTTGAAGTTTGACGGTTAGGCGAGCTCGTTTCGGGCAGTATGGTGGAGGCCCAGGATGATGAGACGCAAAACCCCAGGAATAAAAAGGATACAAAAATATTCGAAGCCAGAAAATGGTTTCTTAGTAAACTCCTAAGCGTTGAGGCTTATGTTGTTTGATGTACCCCCCTGCACCACATCATCAGGACTTGACACATCTGTTTTCCATTCCTACTTCCACTTCCTTGGCCTGAACCCTTTTTTAACTGAGCTGGAGATGCTGGTTTGGAAACCAGAACTTCTGCGGGAATACCCATATATTCTTCATTCCGTGTCGGAGCATTGCTCTTCCTGGAAAGATCTGCCGCGACGCGAAATCTCTCACAAAACAACACGGCGGGAGGTAGTCATCTCAGATGACAAGTGTTCAGGATTGCGTGTATGCCAGTCCACCTCCCAGAGGCTAGGTGGATCACTAGCAGCGAATCCCCTCGGGCGCGCTTTATTGGAAGGCCGCTACGGCGGCTCCTCGTTGTTGGCACATTCCAGGAAAATTGCCCTTACTCGACGAGGATAGAGTGCAACTCGTCCACTGAATAAATGCACAAGTCATAGAGAAGTGATGCCGCTGACTAGTTATAAATTGGATATGACTCACATGATTTGTGCAGTTTTGCCCCCTATCCCAAAAATGTTTGCTCTGGAAGAGGATTTCCGAAATGTTATTATTACTTGACGTGGATAGCTGCTTCTGACTCTCTGCATCCACCTCACACCGCTGTGCGAGCCACTTCCAGAAGCATGTGAAACGAGAAGGTGATTGATGACAGGGAGTTGGTGACGGGCTACTGTGCTGATATCGCCCACCACACCCTGATGACCAAGTAATCGCCAAGAAGTATGGAGGCAACGTGGCATCGACTGGCGCTCTTTCGGCTTCTTAACTCCCTACCGTTATGGGTAAACCCTCCGAAACAATGAAGAGTAGGAGGTAGTTTTCTGATTTGGAGTACTTTTTCCAAAGGGCCAGAGATTGTCGAGACTGGGAAGAACTGGCTTTCGAGGTTGCCAACGTCTGTCTCAGGGTTGGACTGCGGGCTTTGGGGGCGAGTACGCTGAAGAAAGATGGAAAAGAAGACTCCCGATATTGCAAGCAGCTTGAAATACTACATCGGACAACATGATATCATGACATTCACAACCTTGCATTTTCGGCGCCGCTAGTTTTGACGTGTATACTGTACCGTTGCGCTGGTTGGAGCTTCGGTTTGGGAGCGTGTATGAGGACTGTTTCGCTCACGATGTTGCTGTATGTTACAAATTGCAGCCTGTCGTCCCTGTCCATTCAATTTTCCACGTGCCTCCCTCGCAACTACCCGCGAATCTCTTTCCCGCGCACCTTGGCCCAACCAACATGTCGAGAAAGAATGGATCACCTTGTTAGAGCGTCTCCGAAGTGAAGCGTCGAATGGATGTCGATGGATGTCGGTAAATTTCAACCCTTGGATCGAGAGTTCCAACCGTCAGGATTTACCGACATCGGATGTCAACGGATGTCAACTTCACTTCGGACCCGCCCTTAGCCCAGACCCGCACCTCGATCGTCAGCCAGCGCCAAGAGAGCTTGTTATAAGGCACTTGGCATGCGGTTCTGTGAATTTGAGGTGTGCGACATGTTTCAGTGCGTTTTACTGGGTTAAAGCGCTGTGGAATGCGGTATACTTCTACTAATTTATCAGGTTCGAAGAAAAGTCGGTTGCGAACTGGGTGCTAAGTGCCACCTGCGCTCCCCCTCTACTGTACTGGTTCTTAGAAGAACAGTGAAGTGACCCGCGTACAAACGGATCTGATGCTGGCTGGAGGTGTGACACTTGAGCGCAACAAGCGGTGGGAAGGGAACCTCCTCTGCGCTTCCACGTGGTTTGGGGGGTGGGGGGAGGGTAGTGGGCACTTGCGCACCACACAGTTTTCATAAAAGCGCAGACGGGTACCAGGCGTCCAGTAAGAAAGTAGTCAGTTGCGTAGCCGGGCCAGTGATAAGCGCAGAAAGTTGCGCACTCCATCCACTCAGAAGCGCGGACAGTTGCGCGCCACATCCAGTCTCACGCTTCTTTAGCTGTCTGCCTTCCACTCCTGTGGTCATTTTGCGTCCCTCGGGATTCTCTCCACCACCAGCTTTCAGTTTCTGATCCTCTTTGCCCACGCCTTTCTGCTTTTGATTCTCTGACGAACCACTCATTCCGTTCCAGCACGACTCTGGCTGTTTCTGCGGCCATCTGTGGCTCTCTTTCAGTCACGTCGGCTGAGCTGTTTTTCTTTACACCGTGACTGCTTGCTTTCTGGCTCGCTCCACGGTACACCTTGGGATTCGGGAGTTAGAACCACCACATCTTACTGTCAGCAACCACTCCAGTGTCTTTCTTTCACAGCCTCACAAGTTAACAGTCACACGCGAAAGGCATTACACACCAGACAGATACGGTACGCCCATCCAGCCATTCTCTAACGCTAGCTACCTCACTCCGCGCGCTAACAGGAAGTGACCACCTACCGACTCCTTTTTAATCCATCGGGTTCGCCATGCCGAAGCCGTGTGACGCCTGTCAAAGCGTCACGGCATTGCTCTACTGCCGAGCAGATTCCGCCTATCTCTGCGCCGGCTGCGACGGCAAGATCCATGGCGCAAACAAGCTCGCCTCGCGACACGAGCGGGTCTGGGTGTGCGAAGTCTGCGAAATGGCGCCAGCGGCGGTAACCTGCAAAGCGGACGCCGCGGCGCTCTGCACGACGTGCGACGCCGACATACACAATGCGAACCCGCTCGCGCAACGCCATGACCGAATCCCCGTCGTTCCGTTCTACGAAAGCCCTTCCATGGTCAAAGTCGCCCATATCCAATCCGCCGTAAACGGAATCGTCCTTCCCGGATCCGATCTTCTTCACCCCGGGGAACATGGCCTCAAGGGGCTCGGCCTTCATTTATCTGAGCGGAACCAAGATCATCTCGGTCATAACCATCATCCCGATAATGAGGAAGCATGTGACGAGGATACAGCCGGCGATACGGCCAGTTGGCTGCTCAACCCGTCCCTCAACCCCACCGCTGCCGCCGCCGCTGCCGCTGCCGCTGCCGCTAGTCGGCTCGGCAGCAGCAGCGACCCGCTGTCGTCTCTCCCGTTTTCCAACATCGGCATGTACCCCCCATCTCTCGGTCTCAACCCGACGTCGCTCTTCCCTCACCCGAACGCTCTCTCCCTCATGATGAAACCCCCTACATCTTCCCCTCCGAACCCAGCCGCTGCCACCGCCGCCGCCGCAGCCGCGATGAGCGGCGCCCTCCCGCAGTCTCGGCTCACGAAAGCAGGAGGCGCGGAGGGAGCAGCAGCAGCAGCAGCAGCAGCAGGAGGAGGAGCAGATCTGTTGTTCGACGTCGATCCTTTCTTGAATCTTGAGACGTTTGCAGCTGCTAGCGCTCACAATCAAAGCCACGGTCACCATGCTCTTGCTCATGGTCATCTTGCCGCGGCTGGAGGTCTACCGACTAGTGCGCAACTGCTGCAGAGCCTGGCTGCCGGAGCTGGCCTAGGTTCGGCAGGGCTAGGTCCGGGAGGTTTGGGAGGCGCGGGTTTTGGTTCGGCGGGGATCGGGAGGATCGCGAGAGACAGCATGGTTCCTGTTCATTCGACCGATGTGCGTCAATGCTCGCCGTCCGTTTCTAACGCGTCTTCGTTCGACACCCGCGCGCTTCGGGCGCTACCGCTCGCGACTCCGGGCACCTCAGGAAGTGTAAGTTATCTTGGATCCTCGTGTTAGTTTGTTTTCTCTCGTTCTTTCCATCTTCGACCATCGGTTGCTCTATTATCTCTGGTTACTCGACCGAGTCGTTGGATGTTTCGCACCCAATTAATAACATATATATCCTTCTGGTTTCCGTTCTTGTCACATTTGCAGTTGTCACCATCCGCGCTCGACAATGGAGTCGTGCCAGACGTACTGGGTCGACCTAACTCGCTCGATGGAAGCATGGCTTTGCCGTTCGATGCTGCTGCGCATGGAGCGGCGGGAGCGACGGCTGGTAACAGCCCGATGGTGGCGATGGCTCGCGAAGCTCGCGTGATGCGGTACCGCGAGAAACGAAAGAACCGGAAGTTTGAGAAGACGATTCGTTACGCGTCGCGAAAAGCTTACGCCGAGAGCCGACCCAGAGTCAAGGTAAGAACATGCCTTCTTTTCCTCCTGCTCTGAAGCTCTGGCCTCGATCCCTGGTGTCTTTTCTAGTGCTTTACGTGCCCTTCTGTCCGTGAATCGCGCAAGTTGACTAACCCCACCCCTATCGTCTCTCTCTTTGCAGGGTCGCTTCGCCAAGAGAACTGGCAATACCGAGGAGGCCTCTACCGTGGAGTTTTCCCCTGCAACCACGGAGTCGAGCTTCGGGATGGTTGCCGCCTTTTCTTGACGCGCAAGTGTAGTCACTTCCACGTATCTTTCCATAAGATTAATTATGAAATTTATTCATCCCTTCGTTGATTTTATCTTATTTTTGAGTTGGCTTCTACTTTGAAGCAGCAATACCTTTTCCTTTAAGGCCTCTACACAAGTAGGTTCTTATAGCTGCACCCTCCTTGAATCGACTTCGTATCTTGAATTGAAATGATGGTACGGTAACACAAGTAGCACAGCAGTGAAGCACACAGCCACAGCCCAGTGCAGCAATAGACAGCCACATCCAAAAGGTGCAAAAACAGCATGGCTTCACTTGACGCTGGTAGTCACTCTCTTGCTGCTGCAGCAGGAACACACATGGTCACCATGGTAACACAAGCACAGCAGCAAAACACAAAGCGACAGCTGTGTGAACAACTTGAATGCATCCATTGCTTGAAGCCGGTTTGCTGGTAAGAAACACTGCTGCTACTGCTGTTGCTGCAGCAGGAGCTGAAATTGTTACCGCGGTAACACAAGTAGCACAGCAAAGCACACAGCTACTGCTGTATGAACCACTTGAATTATTTGATTGGTTAAAGCCGCTTTGCCAGACCCTGGTGGGGTTCCCTGCTGCTGCTGCATGCCATTGGCTGATGGTACACTGCTTTGCTGAGAGGCAGGCACCGGTGCTGATGTGGACGGTGCTGACGTGGACGGTGCTGATGTGGATGGAGGAGTGGGGCCAGAAAAGGAAGCGGGAGTAGGGGAGGGCGAAGAGGAGGGAGCAGAAGAGGGAGCAGAGGAGGGAGCGGCAGGGGAAGAGGAGGCAGGAGCAGAGGAGGAGGCAGGAGCAGGCTGCTTGATGGGGGAGCGGAGGAGGGGGCAGAGGGGGGAGCAGAGGGAGCAGAGGGAGGAGATGAGGGGGGTGAAGAGGAGGGAGAAGAGGTAGCAGAGCGGGGAGCAGAGGGGGGAGCAGAGGGGGGAGCAGAGGGGGGAGCAGAGGGGGGAGCAGAGGGGGGAGCAGAGGGGGGAGCAGAGGGAGCAGAGGAGGGAGACGGGGAGGCGGTAGAGGAGGGAGAAGCCTAGGGAGTAGCAACCGGTGAGGAGGATTTGGGAGGGCAGGCCTGGTTGGCTGCATGGTCGAGACAGTTACCCGCATACCTGCACGGGGGGATTGGGGTTCACACATGGGATCTCATTTGTGATAGCATGTCATGGCACGGCATGACAGATTCTTGAGGTGCTTCAGAAGTAGGGCAGGCCTGGTTGGGTGCACTATTGAGGAAGTTACCCGCATGGGGGGAATGGGGTAAGTGTACAGGATATCATTTCATATGTCATGGCACTGTATGGGAGGGAGCTGGCCCGCGAGATGACTTCTGAGACCCTTGAACCTTTAAGGCTTTAAAACTTGAAGGAAATTCAAGGCTTTAGCCTTAAGGATTTTGAGATGCTTGGCAGGGGAACTCACATGAAGCGGAGATTTGATTGGTCAGGGATGGAAGGGAGCGGGTTCTTGAGGTGACTTTGAGACCCTTGAGCTTCAGAGGCCTTTGGGACAGTCTATAGACAGTGGCATGACGGGGCAACTCACAAGAATCGGAGATTGGATTTCTTTGGAATGGGAGGGAGTTTGCCCGTGAGGTGGTTGTGGGAGACGTCGCTGTTGCCGTTGGGAGGGGCGGGAAGGAGAAGGAAGAGCAGAGAAAGCGGTGAGTCGCGATCGGAGGGAGTGGGCCCGTGAGGTGGTTGTGAGAGACGTCGCTGTTGCCGTTGGGAGGGGAGGGGGAAGGGGGAGATGGGAGACAAGAGCAGGGAAAGGTGAGGGAGAAGGGGGGATGAAGCGAGAGCATTGAGTCGGAAGACGAAAGGCAGTGAGTCAGGATGGGAGAACGAGGGCCCGTGAGGTGGTTGTGAGAGACGTCGCTGATGCAATGGGAGGGGCGGGAAGGTGGGAGAGGGGTGGGGGGAGATGGGAGAGGAGAGATGAGAGATGAGAGATGGGAGATGGGAGATGGGCGAGGGGAGAGGGGAGAGGGGAGAGAGGAGAGGGGAGAGGGGAGAGAGGAGTGGGGAGAGGGGAGAGAGGAGAGGGGAGAGGGGAGATGGGAGAGGGGAGAGGGGAGAGCTTGTTGAGGGCCTCTAGATTCATACTGGTGGTTACTGCAAGGGGTACCGGTCACTCACAGCAGTTTCAGGTGCGGCGGGGCAGTCAGACAAGCCTGGTTGCGAGCCAGGTTGAGCTCGTAGCTATTAGCCAGGCGGCACAGCTGTGCCGGGATGCTCCCAGTGAGGCGGTTGCGGTTGAGATGAGATAAAGCTTGTTGAGCGGCTCTAGACTGACTGCCTGTTGAGCGGCTCTAGACTGACTGCCTGCTGAGCGGCTCTAGACTGACTGCCTGCTGAGCGGCTCTAGACTGACTGCCTGTTGAGCCCAAGGTCAGATTCTCACTCACAGCAGTGTCAGGCGTGGCAGGGCAGGTAAACATGCCGGGATAGACCCATTCAGCTCGTTGTGACCCAGGTTGATCTCGTATGCATAGTGCAGGTGACACAGCTGTGCTGGGATGCTGTGCTGCCGAGAGAAGAGACCCTTACTTACAGCAGTGTCAGCCGTGGCAGGGCAGGCAGGCACGCCGGGATCGATCCATTGAGCTCATTATGACCCAGGTTAAGGTCATAGATATAGTGCAGGTGGCACAGCTGTGCCGGGATGCTCCCAGTGAGGCGGTTGCGGTTGAGAAAGAGCTTGTTGAGGGACTCTAGACTGCCTGTTGAGGCGAGAACTTAGATTCTCACTCACAGCAGTGTCAGGCGCGGCAGGGCAGGCAGGCAGGCAGGGATCGATCCATTGAGCTCGTTGTGACCCAGGTTGAGCTCGTATGCGTATGAAAGGTAGCACAGCTGTGCCGGGATGCTCCCGGTGAGGCGGTTGCGGTTGAGATAGAGCTTGTTTAGGGACTCTAGACTGCCGAGAGTGGCTGGGATGCGGCCGGAGAGGCGGTTTCCGTCGAGGAAGATCTCAACGAGGAAGACGAGCGTGCCTAGAGACGGTGGGATTTGGCCCGTGAGATTGCAGTGCTCCATGGCTCTGACAGAGCGGAATGGGGGGAGGGGGGAAGAGGGGGAGAGAATGGCAGGCAAGAGGGAATGCGGTTGGCAAGCGGGTGGGATGCGGCCAAAGAGGTGGTTTCCGTCGAGGAAGATCTCAACGAGGAGGTTGAGCATGCCTAGAGAGGGCGGGATGGGGCCTGAGAGGTTGCAATGCTCCATGGCCCTGACAGGGAGGAGGAGGCGGGTGGGGGAAGGAGGGGAGGGAACAGGGGGGGAGAGAACAGGGGGGGAGAGAACAGGGGGGGAGAGAACAGGGGGGGAAGGAGAGGAAAATCTCCACGAGGAGGTTGAGGGTGCCTAGAGACGGGGGGATGGGGCCTGTGAGGCTGCAATGCTCCATGGCCCTGACAAAGAGGAAAGGAGGGAAAAGAAAAAGGAAAAGGGGGAATGGAAGACAAGAGGATATGGTTGGCTGGCGGGGGGATGGAGCTCCGTTTATGAAGTAATGTTTTGCGACGTCTCAAAACATTACTTCATACACGTGACAAGAGGATATGGTTGGCTGCTGGGGACATGGAGCTCAAGGGGGAGGTTGAGGGAGAAGAGACGGAGTTGACTTGAGTCAACTCAAAAGTCAACTCGGTATAACGTCACACGGTACTTTTTCTACACGCGGGGACATGGAGCTCAAGGAGGAGGCTGAGGGTGAAGAGATGGAGGGATGGGGCAGGGGGGGGGAGGAGGTCGGTAAGAGTGAGGAAAGCAGGTTGCAGGATACATTAACACACACCTAGGGCCGCAAGTCCTCCCAACCGTTTCGCACCCACAGGCAAGTCCAATTCCCAACCCTTCCCCTCCCCACTCACAGGGACTCCAGCAGCCAGAGGTTTCCCAGGAAGGCTGGGACGGATCCGTTGATTCCCTTGTTGTAACTCAGGTCGCTGCAGGTGTGAAAGCGATGGCGAGGGAGGGAGGGGGAAAGAGGAGGAAAGAGAGGGAGGGGAGAGAGGGGGAGGGCTGGTAGAATAGGAAGGAAGCTGGGACGGATCCGTTGATTCCCTTGTTGTAACTCAGGTCGCTGCAGGTGTGAAAGCGATGGCGAGGGAGGGAGGGGGAAAGAGGAGGAAAGAGAGGGAGGGGAGAGAGGGGGAGGGCTGGTAGAATAGGAAGGAAGCTGGGACGGATCCGTTGATTCCCTTGTTGTAACTCAGGTCGCTGCAGGTGTGAAAGCGATGGCGAGGGAGGGAGGGGGAAAGAGGAGGAAAGAGAGGGAGGGGAGAGAGGGGGAGGGCTGGTAGAATAGGAAGGAAGCTGGGACGGATCCGTTGATTCCCTTGTTGTAACTCAGGTCGCTGCAGGTGTGAAAGCGATGGCGAGGGAGGGAGGGGGAAAGAGGAGGAAAGAGAGGGAGGGGAGAGAGGGGGAGGGCTGGTAGAATAGGAAGGAAGCTGGGACGGATCCGTTGATTCCCTTGTTGTAACTCAGGTCGCTGCAGGTGTGAAAGCGATGGCGAGGGATGGAGGGGGAAAGAGGAGGAAAGAGAGGGAGGGGAGAGAGGGGGAGGGCTGGTAGAATAGGAAGGAAGCTGGGACGGATCCGTTGATGCCCCTGTTGTAACTCAGGTCGCTGCAGGTACAGTGCGGGGTGAGGGTAGAGAAGGGGAGAGCGGGGAAGGGAATGAATGAGGGGTGAGGAAGGCTGGGACGGATCCGTTGATGCCCCTGTTGAAAATCAGGTCGCTGCAGGTGCACGGGCGAGGGCGAGAAGGGGCAGAGAGAAGAAAGAGACTCGATTGGTCGACTCTCTCACTCCCACAGAGGCTGAAGCAGCCAAAGCTTTCCCAGGAAGGCTGGGATAGATCCGTTGATGCCCCTGTTGTGACTCATGTTGCGAGTGAGTGCTGTGATGTGCTGTTGGTGCATAAGGTACAAGGGCACATATGAGCGACCAACCCCCCCCCCACCCACTCACAGGTACATGAGGCTCTTGAGGCGTTTGAAGCTGCTTTATAGGCGCATAAAAAGCTCAGGGTGGTTCAGGGTTGAAGCATTTAGTGAAAAACCGATCCACTCACAGGTACATGAGGCTCTTGAGGCGTTTGAAGCTGCTTTATAGGCGCATAAAAAGCTCAGGGTGGTTCAGGGTTGAAGCATTTAGTGAAAAACCGATCCACTCACAGGTACATGAGGCTCTTGAGGCGTTTGAAGCTGGCCGGGATGGGTCTTTTCCAGGGAGTTGCTTGCGAGTGTTGTGGTGCGCTGTTGGAATGCTGGCCATATACAAGCAAAAAACACTCACCCACCCACTCACAGGTACATGAGGCTCTTAAGGCGTTTGAAACTGGCAGGGATGGGGCCTTCCAGGGAGTTGCTTGCAGCATAGCTGGGAGGGGAGGGAGCATGGGGCAGATGGTGGGATGAGAGAGAGCACAGGCGGGGGATAGGCGCAACAGGGTATTGAAGGACAACTGAAGCTGGCGGGAATGGGGCCTTCCAGGGAGTTGCTCGCAAGAGAGACAAACCGTGGGTGCGAGAGAGAATGTGGCAGATGGTGGGATGAGAGGGCACGAGAGAGCGACGAGACGGGGGAGTGAGAGGTATAACGGGAGAGAGAGGGCCATTGAAGCTGGCAGGAAAGGGCTCTTTCCTTCCTGGAAGTTGCTTGCGAGTAAAGGCAGAGGCACAGCGAGGCAAACAGCAGCACTGTCGTAAACCCAGGAGGAGTAGACGCCACCAGCATTGTTTTGTTCTTAGTTGACTCAAGAACCATCTTGAGTCGACTAAAAAGACGATTCTTGAGCTGACTCAGTCACCCAGAACAGGAATGAGGTCCCCTAGGGAGCTGCTAGTGAGTACAGGCTTCTTTTGAGGCGACTCAAAGGTGCTTGCTGCCCTCAAAAGTGATCTCTTTTTTTAGTCGACTCAAAAGTCGCCTCTAACGTGCTTGCCCCAAAAAACTGCTTGCCCCAAAAAACTGCTTGCCCTCAGAAGGGCTCGCCTCGCCCTCAACAGTGGAGCGCTTGCCCTAGAAGAGAGAGAGGAGCACCACCACCACGCAGAGAGGAGCGAAGAAAACAGCACCACCACCACTGCCCTAAACCCAAGCAGAGAGCCTAATGGCACTCCGCTTGGGGGTGTTGGGCACTCCACTGCCATATACCTGAAACCAGCAGTCCCAACACCCCCAATGAGACTGCTGTTTTCTTCTGCTCCTCTCTGCGTGTTGGGCACTCCACTACCCTATACCTGAAACCAGCAGTCCCAACACCCCCAAAATACCGTAAAGCCCTGAAATTTGAAACCATGAAATTCGCCCTGAAGCCTACAGGGCGACAAGATTGGGAAGGTTCCCAAGTGCTGGTGGGAGGGGACCCGAGAGGCGATTGTCATCTAGTGCTCTGTGGGACGAGGAGGGGGGAGATTTGGAATGGGCATGGGGGATGGCACGAGAGTGAGACTGTGCGCACCCAACCCAACCACGGGTGGAAAGGTTTTTGAGTGGTGGGATGGGATGGGGCCGGAGAGGCGATTGACGTCTATTGCTCTGTGGGGGAAGGGACCTGAAATGGATGGGACCTGAGAGTCGGTGGGAGGTATTTTTTTAGGCGCCTCAAAAAACACCTCAATGCAAAGGGATGGAATGGGACCCGGCAGAGAGTGTGGTGTCACTGACTCGCATTGACTCGCATTGACTCGCATTGACTCGCATTGACTCGCATTGACTCGCATTGACTCGCATTGACTCGCATTGACTCGCATTGAATTGCGCTGACTCTTGTTGACTCACATTGACTGGCACTCATTGATGCAGCAGACAAGTTTATCACGCATCGCACTCCCATTGACTCGCATTGACTCCCATTGACTCGCATTGACTCGCATTGACTCCCATTGACTCGCATTGACTCGCATTGACTCGCATTGACTCCCATTGACTCGCATTGACTCGCATTGACTCGCATTGACTCCCATTGACTCGCATCGACTCACATTGATTCCAGAGCAGTGGCACCGGCCAGGCTGGGGGGAATACGGCCGGAAAGGAGGTTCGAGTAGAGTTCACTGAGGGAGGGGGAGAGGGGGAGAGAGGGAGAGGGGGAGAGGGGGAGAGGGGAAGTAGGGGGAAGGAGAGAGGGTTACGAGAAGGGAGAAGGACCCCCCAAGACTGGGGGGAATACGGCCGGACAGCCGGTTGGAGTAGAGATTACTGATAGAGGGGGAGAGAGGTAAGGAGAGAAGGATCTAAGCAGGGTGGAATAGTAAGGTCGGGCAGGCGGTTCGAGTAGAGCTCTTTGAGAGAAAAGAGGAGAGGAGGAGGAGGAGGGGAGAGGACAGGGGGGGAAAGGAAAGGGTAGCGAGGGAGGAGAGGAGGAGTGAAGCCGGACAGAGGCAATTTTTGAGGCGCCTCAAAAATCAGAGGCACCGGCCTCATTGGGGGGGATAGGGCCGGACAGCCGGTATAAGAACAGCTCTCTGAGAGAGGGCGAGGAGGGGAGAGCGGAGGGGAAGGGAGGAGGAGAGGATAGGAGAGGAGAGGATAGGAGAGGTGAGGAGAGGAGAAAAGATTCAAAACTGGTTCAGGTGAGGCATTGCTCTGTGAAACGGACACGGCAAGGAGGAAACGCACTTCTTTTAGTTAAGCGACATGCTTACAGCAGTCTCAGAAGCTTGAGGCTACTTCCAAGCCATTCTGGATTTGACACGTCTAAAAAATCGCATCGATTTCAACTAAGCATCCTCCTTACAGAAACTCTCAGCTTCTTGAGGCTTCGAAGCCGCCCTGGTTGTGCAACGTCTCAAAGCTCACAACGGATTTCGCTAAGTGTTTTGCTTACAGCACTTGTAACTGCTTGAGGCTTCCAAGCCAACCTGGGACCGGTCCTGAGAGCTGATTGGCTGGGACGGATCTGGTGATGGGGAAAGAGGAGGGCAGGGAGGGGGGAGATAGTGGAAAGGAGGGGGAGGATGAGGGAGATGGATGGTGGATGGGACGAAGGGGCTTCCAAGCCACCCTGGGACCGGTCCTAAGAGCGCATTGGGTGGGACGGTCCTGGTAAAATGGAGGATGGGCGGGATGGAGAGGGGATGAAGAGGTGACTTTTGAGTCGACTCAAAAAGTGTCCTAAGAGTGCATTGGGTGAAAGGCTTGGAAGGCCCTGGGGACCGGGCCTGGTGCAAGCGAAATAGTGAGAGGATGCAGAGGTGACTTTTGAGTCGACTCAGAAGTCTCCTAAGAGCGCATTGGGTGGGAGGCTTGGAAAGTCCTGGGGACGGGGCCTGGTGCAAGCGAAAGAGTGAGGGGATGAAGAGGGAGGAGGAGCATGGAGGGTGGACGGTTTTTGAGTCGACTCAAAAACCGACTGATCACACGTGGGAGGCTTGGAAGGCCCTGGGGACGGACCTGGTGCAAGGGAAAGAGTGAGGGGATGAAGAGGGAGGAGGAGCATGGACGGTGGAGGGAAGGAAATGGAGCGATGTGATGTGAGCATCGTGTGCAATGTGTGCTCTGGGGGCGGGGGCAAGAGGGAGCAGTGTGACGTGCTTTGATTGGCTGGGATGGATCTGGTGGAAGGGACAGAGGAGGAAAGGGAGGTGGACAACTCACAGCTGCTTCAAGAGCCGGCAGCGCACAGTGCAATGTGAGTAATGTGTGCTCATGGGCAGGGAGGAAGGGACAGCGAAGCACACGTTTCTCTGAGGAAAAGGTACGAGGGGAGCAGTTCTATTGTGGGCAACTCACAAGTACTTCAAGAGCCAGCAGCGCTGTAGGGTGGACGGCAGCTGGCCTGTGAGGCGGTTGCTGCCAAGGTCACTGGGAGGGGGAGGCGTGGTGGGTAAGGCAAGAGGGAAGACGAGGGAGGGATATGGCAACGAGTGCTCTAACAGACAGCAGTGCTGGAGGGTGGACGGCAGCTGGCCTGAGAGGCGGTTGCTGTCAAGGTCACTGGGAGGGACGGAATGGAGTGAGGCAAGGGGAAGACATGGAGTGCGGAGGAGTGCTTCTATAGCCGGCAGTGCTGTAGGGTGGACGGCAGCTGGCCTGAGAGGCGGTTGCTGCCGAAGCCAATGGGAGGGAGGGAGGGGCATGTGTGGGTAACGAAGTGAAGCACGCATCAAGAGACCCGGCGATGAGTGCTCCGTCTGGCAGCAGGGTGGACGGCAGCTGGCCTGAGAGGCCGTTGCTGCCGAGGTCACTGGGAGGGGGAGCGAGTGGGGAGGCATGTGCAGCGAGGGGGAATTGACGGAGGCATGGAGTGAGGCATATGCTGATATGAGGGAGGGAGATTTGGAGTGAGGAGACGATGGGAGCAGTGAGGAAAGTGAGGGAGGGAGGCATGAGATCAAACAAATAGATTATTGTGAGGGACAGGGAGGCAGGCACGTTGATTCGACATGAGCCAGATTCTTGCATACCCACCTAGCCCCCCACAAAAACAACGACAACGACAACGAGAACAAAAACGAGAACGATGACAACGAGGAGGAGGAGAACAACAACATCTCACAGCGACTGCAAGTTCTTGAGACCCCCCAGTGTGGTGCATTTTGAGGCGCCTCAAAATGCACCTCACTACACGCGGATTTCATACGAGAACGACGACAAGGAGGAGGAAAACAACATCTCACAGCGACTGCAAGTTCTTGAGACCCCCCAGCGTGCTTGGCAGAGGGCCACTGAGAAGGTTGCTGGCGAGATGGCTGCAACACGTGGGGAGAGAAAAGGACATGAGGAGAGAGGGGCATGTGGAGGTATGAGGAGAGAGGGGCGTGTGGAGGTATGAGGAGAGAGGGGCGTGTGGAGGTATGAGGAGGGACGTGCGGTCTCCCCCCGAGGGTGCTTGGCAGAGTGCCACTGAGAAGGTTGCTGGCGAGATGGCTGAACCACATGGGGAGAGAAAAGGATGTGCGGAGGCACGAGGAGAAAGAGAGACGTGTGGAGGCGTGAAGAGAGCCAGTCAATCAACTAGGAAAACGAGGGGCGGGCCAAAAGTTGACTCTGTAGCCAAAAGTTGACTTTGTAACCAAAAGTTGACTCTGTAACCAAAAGTTGACTCTGTAACCAAAAGTTGACTCTGTAACCAAAAGTTGACTCTGTAACCAAGAGTTGACTCTGTAACCGCACTAACTAAGCAATGTACCGTACATGCTGACTTACAGTAAGAAAACTCACACGTTCACTAGCTTGAAGAGTCGTTGTCCCAGCCACTCGGGAACTGATCCCTTCAATTTATTGGCCTCTAACGACCTGAAGGGGTGGGAGGAGGGAGGGAGGGAGGGAGGGAGGGAGGGAGGGAGGGAGGGAGGGAGGGAGGGAGGGAGGGAGGGAGGGAGGGAGGGAGGGAGGGAGGGAGGGAGGGAGGGAGGGAGGGAGTGAGGGAGGGAGGGAGGGAGGGAGGGAGGGAGGGAGGGAGGGAGGGAGGGAGGGAGGGAGGGAGGGAGGGAGGGAGACGGAGAGGGAGGGATAAATAAAGTGGGGAAAAGGGAATGGGAGAGGGGAAGGGGACTAGCAAGTAAGCTGTGTGAATGAATGACTCGAAACTCTCTTTCGAGACGTCTCAAGAATTGTCAGCAAGCAAGCCGCAGAGTAACCCATAAGTGCGTGAGGTTGGAAGGGCGGACAGCTTATGAGGTTGGAAGTGCCACACCGAACAGGCGCGTGGGTGTCAAGCTATGCATTTTGAGAATTTTCTAACAGAAAATACAGAAGAAGAAGAAAAAAAATGGTTCTCATGCTATGTTGGAATCGATGCTCGGGTAGGGTTGCGACATAGGTGTCAGTCATGTCGACTCACAAGTAGGTGAGGATCAAAGGGTGGACGGCAACGTTTGGCGCGACTCACAGGAAGGTGAGGTTGGAGAGGGCTGGGCGCTACTGTGGGGGATGGGCCCTGTGAGTGCGTGAAACACCTACACTTTTAAGACTCATCGGAAAGCAAGCAGCAGAGGGACGGACAGGTGAGTGGGGTTGAAAGAAGGCTCACAGGAAGGTGAGGCTGGAGAGGGCTGAGAGCTCCTGTGGGATGGGCCCTGTCAGTGCGTTGTATCCCATGTCTCTGCACGTGCCAACAGGATCGTGACAGATGGGGAGAATAACGCAGGAAATGGATAAGTGAGATGCCTCACAAGTCTCCTTAGGGATGGGCCCTGTGAGTGCGTTGTACCCCATGTCGCTGCACATTGCGTGAGGGGCGACGAAAAGGAACTGAGAGGATAGGAACCTTTTTTTTTTTTTTCTAAATCCATCCGATACTCCCAGCCATTTCCCTCTGACCGTGCCCCTTCCCCTCCCCCTCCGCCCCTTCCCCCTGTCCCTTTCCCCCTGTCCCTTTCCCCCTGTCCCTTTCCCCCTGTCCCTTTCCCCCTGTCCCTTTCCCCCTGTCCCTTTCCCCTGTCCCTTTCCCCCTGTCCCTTTCCCCCTGTCCCTTTCCCCCTGTCCCTGTCCCCCTGTCCCTGTCCCCCTGTCCCTGTCCCCCCTGTCCCTGTCCCCCTGTCCCTGTCCCCCTGTCCCCCGTCCCCCTGTCCCCCTGTCCCCCTGTCCCCCGTCCCCCTGTCCCCCGTCCCCCCGTCCCCCGTCCCCCTGTCCCCCGTCCCCCCGTCCCCCTGTCCCCCGTCCCCCGTCCCCCTGTCCCCCTGTCCCCCTGTCCCCCTGTCCCCCTTCCCCCGTCCCCCGTCCCCCGTCCCCCGTCCCCCGTCCCCCGTCCCCCGTCCCCCGTCCCCCGTCCCCCGTCCCTTGTCCCTTGTCCCTTGTCCCTTGTCCCTTGTCCCTTGTCCCTTGTCCCTTGTCCCTTGTCCCTTGTCCCTTGTCCGGATGGGCCCTTCCTCCTTTCCGCCCCCCCATCCCCTTCCTCCTTTCCGCCCCCTTCCCCTTCCCTGCCCCCCCTCCGCCTCTTCCCCCTTTCCCCCATGCACTCACAGGCGTTGAAGCCCAGCCAGAGCAGCCAACTGCTTCCCTGGGATGGGCCCTTTCAGCAGTTGATTCGCCAGGTAGCTGCACAACGGACGGGGGGGGATGGGGGCAAGTGGGGGAATGGGAGCTATTGGAGCAGCTAGCTGCTTCCCCGGGATGGGCCCTTTCAGCAGCTGATTCGCCAGGTAGCTGCACAACGGAAGGGGGGGGATGGGTGCAAGTGGGGGAATGGGAGCTATTGGAGCAGCTAGCTGCTTCCATGGGATGGGCCCTTTCAGCAGTTGATTCGCCAGATTGCTGCACAACGGAAGGGGGGGGATGGGGGCAATTAGTGAGCTGGGAGCTTTTGATGCGCCCCAAAAGTGCTTCCCTGAAATAGGACATTTGATGAGCTGCGCTCATGCTTATAACGCAGCAAGTCACATGCTTATAACGCGTCCAGCAGCTCACAGGCTTACAGCGCGTCGCTCACATGCTTATAACGCGTCCAGCATCTCACAGGCGTATAACGCGTCCAGCACTGTTGCATTTGATGCGAGGGGTCCACGAGTTGTCGCACGGATCCGCATTCACCCATCCGGGCAGCGCACCGGGGTAGCTTTTTCTCAGCGCGTCCCTCAGCACCAACAGCGCGGCCTCTGCACCGGAAGAAGAGGAAGAGAGAAGAGGCAGGCTTGGGGAGTGGGAAGAGGGGGGGTCGCACGGATCCGCATTCACCCATCCCGGCAGCGCAGCAAGATTGGCAGCGCAGCGAGGTAGCCTTTTCTCAGCGCGTCCCTCAGCGCCAACAGCGCGGCTTCTGCGAAAGAGGAAGAAGAGGGGGAGGGAGGGGTGAGAGAGAGGGGACAGGGGGAATAGGTATAGGAGGGTCAGGGTTATTCATGACAAGCACCCATCCTGGCAACGCACCGGGGTTGCCGTGCCTCAACGCGTCCCTCAGCGCTAACAGCACGGCCTCTGCAAACGAGGAAGTAGTAGGGAGGGGGGCAGAGGGGCCGGGAAAGAGGAGGGGGGATCGCAGGGATGGCATCCGTGGCGTTCGCCCATCCTGGCAGCACAGCGGGTTTGATTTGCTGCCTCTCAGTGCGTCCCTGGGCTCCCAACCTGGCAGGATTGCTGCCTCTCAGCACAGCAGGATTGCTGCCTCTCAGCACAGCAGGATTGCTGCCTCTCAGCACAGCAGGATTGCTGCCTCTCAGCACAGCAGGATTGCTGCCTCTCAGCACAGCAGGATTGCTGCCTCTCAGCGCAGCAGGATTGCTGCCTCTCAGCGCAGCAGGATTGCTGCCTCTCAGCACATCCCCCAGCACTAACAGCAACCCCGTTGCACCGCAAGACGTGAAGGAGGGGGCAGAGGAGCCGGGAAGAGGAGCAGGTCGCAGGGATAAGATCTATGGCGTTCCCCCAACCTGGCAGCACAGCGGGATTGCTGTTTCTCGCTGCATCCCTCAGCACCTCCGAACGGTTAGTAACTCTCTATCGGGGCCGGGCGGAACTGCAGCGGCGGTCGCACCAACAGCCTCGGATTTCTGAGTCGACAAAAAAAAAAAAAAAAAAGGAATTGCTGCTTCTCAGTGCATCCCTCGGTGCCTCCGAACGGTTAGTAACTCACTGTTGGGGCTGGGCGGAGCAGCAGCGGCGGCCGTCTTATGAGACGTCTCATAAGCTGACAGCGCAGCAGTGTTGCTACCTCTCAGCGCAGCGCCTCCGAACGGTTACTAGTAACTCACTATCGGGGCTGGGCGGACGAGCGGCGGCCGTGGCGAGCAGCCTCGGAGTTGCCGCCGTCGCAACTGCGAGCGCGAGGAACAGCAGCGCGAGAGCATGCATCAGCTTGCGAGTGACCATTGACGCGTCGCCGCGATTCGCGGCCATGGCCGGCAGCACTGGAGTTTCACGACTCAAGGATTTCGGAGCGTTGAATACCGCCGTCGATTTCCGCGATTCTATTGATAAAAATACTTTTCGGACGTCTCTTGATACGCGAGTATTGTGCGGACGGTGGTGGATGTAATGCAAAGATTCCGCGAATAACGCTGCGGAAAAATGGCGACCCGCAAGAAGGGCTCGAGTCTGGTCGCTTTCCACCGTGCAGGCGTCTGGATAAAAGGACTACTAATTCCCGCAGTGGACTTGAATGAATCGGACCCGCGGAAATGGGTGACCGGAAGTACCGCGGAAAATGAGAATGCGATCAAAATTCGTGCTTCAAGCAGAAGTTTGCCCGTGCGTCGGGGGGTAGGGTCTCCAGGTCCCGCGGGGTCCGCGTGGAGTCCACGCGGAGTCCGCGCGGAGTGCCGGCAGGCGTTGGTCGGTCGGTCTGTCGGTGGTAAGTAAGAAGTATCCCTACTTGATAAGGTAGCGTCACTGACTCGCTGGTAGCAACTGCTGATCAGCTATCGCGCGTGGATCGGTTACTGAACACCGATAAGCTATTATGGATGGCCACGACAGGACCGATTGTACATGCAAGTTTACTTCCTCGTACGTTACTAGCTTCAATCTTGACGTGCGTTCAATCTGACTCTGAAAGATGCAGCTTGCATGCGGGTAGGAGAAATACGTAAGTTATACAGGCGGCAGTTACAGACAGCGAGGTTGCGTGTTTGAGCGGCCAGGAAATAGCCCTTTGTTTTGTTTACAGCAGGAGCCTGTCGGTCGTCAGTTGGTGTAGTGAACTGGTTTGGGAAGAAAGCCGGGAGAGTCGGTTACTCTCGGTAGCTATGAGGAAATCTCGGTTCAAAGAGGTTTCAAATGCGCACCGAACAAAAGGTTCATGCTGTCATGCTGTCAAGATTGGCGGTTTGTCAGTTCGGTTTCGTGGTCAGTCGATTCAGATTGAATCTCATTTGGTCAATTGCTGCCGATATCCGCGCTAGGAAATGTTTCTGCACCATGACAATTATAACAAGGTAGGGGATGTGAGATTGAAAGAAGTGTCAAGTGTAAGGCTATCCAGCAGCAATGCAGAACCAGATGTGCTTGCCCCTGCACTGCAGCAGTCAAGGAACTAGAAATGTGCTTCCAATAGTTCACCATGAGTATGGTTCTTGAATTAATGCCATGTGGTTATGGGTGCATAGAGCACGGATACATGGTAATGGATGGGGACAAACCTGAATAAAAGTGCATGAGCATTTACAGATCCGAATCCTTGTCTTGTCATGTGCATCCATGGCACATTGATTGAATACATATACGGTATTGGTGTGTTACCCCATGCATGACATGAATGGGTGTAGTGTGTGGGAGTGTGCATTACTTCTTTCTCGAGCCTAACCTGACCGCCGCACTCCCACCAGCACAGCCACCCCCACCCCAACGGCACAAGCAGCAATAGCTGGCAGCGCAATGCCTGTTGCTGCTCGAGATAAGGACCATCCAGAGGCGGAGGAAGATGAGAGCGAATAGTGCGAAAGGTGGGGGTGAGAGGAGCGGAAGCGAGCGGAGGAGGAACCGTCAGAGTCTAGTGAGTCCCGAAGGAGGCGACCCAACGAATCGAGCTGGAATTTTGATATTGGTTGGAAGAGGGGGGGGGGGAAGAAACAGAGACTACGGTCAGAAATTTAGGGAAAGGAGGAGGATGGAGGAGGGAAGGGTGGGTGGGGGAAGGGGACGAAGACATACGAGCACAGGAATTTGAGTAGGTGAGGCCCGAGTGGGAATAAACCGCACAATCCAGGGGCAATGCAGGGGAGCAGAACAAAAACAAAAACAAACAAACAAACCAACCGTGCCACCTGAAATCCCTGAACCATCACCTCAGATCAGACCGAACCAAGGCCTGACCCCTCACCTCAGATGCAATCATTCTTTGGCTGCTGGCAATCTCCTTCACTTCCAGAACCAGCGCTTCTGAGTCAACTCAAAGTCACCAAGTCAGCAGAATGCCAGGCAGAACCCCTCATCGCTCCCCCTCACCTCAGATGCGAGCCTTCTTTGGCTGCTGACAATCTCCTTCACTTGTACCACCGGCACCTTAGAGTCGAGTCAAATGCCACTAAGTCAGAGCAACATCAGGCTGAGCCCGCCACATCCTGTCAGAGTAACGCCAGGCTGAACCCCTCACCTCAGATGCGAGCCTTCTTTGGTTGCTGGCGATCTCCTTCACTTCCACCACCAAAGCTGCTGCTGCTGATCCTGGTGCTGCTGACCCTCGCCCCTCTGCACCGCTCCCAACCCCATTCACCGCATTCACATCGTAACACTGACTGTTACCACTCACACCCACTGCAGCACCATTCACCAGGCCCATCACACCGCCCCCAGCAGCAGCAGCAGAAACAGGAGTGAGCCTGCCACCCCCACAACTCCCACCCTTACCACCACTCCCTCCTCCTCCACCCCCACCACCCCCTCCTCCATTCCTCCTCTCCCCCCCATTCCCTGACCCTATATCAATCGGCCCTGCCAGCTCGCCTCTACTCCCGTTCCTCCCTCCCAACATCCCATTCCCCCCCAACACCAGCTGGCTGGTCAATGCTGACGTGGCAGGACTCAATTGGATGCTGCTGCTGCCACCATTCCCTGCCGCACCCCCATTCCCGCTCCCAGACCCCACTGATCCGGCCGAAACAAGGTCCAATCTCGAGAGCAGCTCGTCCAATCGGTCGGTGACAAGTGTCAGCTGCTCAGAGATCCGCTCCTGAGATTGAACCAGGGATGTCACTCTCCCTGCTTCCCCCGATCCTCCCCCCTCCAACCCCTCCTCCTCCCCCACCTCTACATGACCCATATTCCGACTCCTGCTGCCGCTGCCGCTGCCATTGCCGCCCCCCCCTCTCCTGCTGCTTCCCCTTTCTCCTGTACTATCCGCATGCCTCCCTCCTGCGCCCGCTCTCTCCCCGTCCCCCTCCCGCCTGTGTCGCCTTGAGGGAGTGTCATTCGCAGAGGTAGCAGCGTTGCTGGGTGACGCCTCGAGTCTGTCCGGAGAAGCCTTGATGCGCCCCCCCTGCTGGTCCTTGCTCCAGTTGCTGGCCATGGGATGGGACAGACGGGGGGAACATGGTGGGATGGGATGGGACAGGGCATCGAGGGTGTGTCATTAGGGGAGGTAGCAGCAGCGTTGGCGCTTTGGTTGACGATGGGTGAGGCCTCGAATCTGTCTGGAGACACATGAATACGCCCCCCCTGCAACGATTTTTGAGGCGCCTCAAAAATCCCCCCCTGCATTTCCTTTCTCCAGTTGCTGGCCATGGGATGACATGGGATGAAGGAACATGGGGGAATGGGACCGCGGGGACATGGGGGGTCCATAGCATGGGGGGCATGGGACGGCAAGTGTAAAAAATAAACGCAATCAGCATACCAGCGGGGAGGTAAAAAAAGGGGAGGAGCGACCGCCAATGAGAGACGAAGGACGAGGGCAAGAAGATAAGGAGAGGGGAGTACAGGGAAAGCACGACACGAGGAGGAGACGAGAGGAGGGTTAACGGAGAGAGAAAGAAACCATACAGCTACACAGTGAAGGGTTTTGAAGAGCATACGAAGAGGAGGAGAGCAGAAAAAGATAACTCACGATTGGTTGAACTTGTGGCCGAGAGTCCAGGATGAGGACACAAGAGGAGGGGTGAGGGAGGAGGAGAGGAGAAGGGGGGCACCGTCTCTGGGACTCCCGGACTGCTTTTGAGTCGACTCAAAAGAGGAGGAGAAGGGGGCACCGCCTCTGGGACTCCCGGACTGCTTTTGAGTCGACTCAAAAGAGGAGGAGAAGGGGGCACCGCCTCTGGGACTCCCGGACTGCTTTTGAGTCGACTCAAAAGAGGAGGAGAAGGGGGCACCGCCTCTGGGACTCCCGGACTGCTTTTGAGTCAACTCAAAAGAGGAGGAGAAGGGGGCACCGCCTCTGGGACTCCCGGACTGCTTTTGAGTCGACTCAAAAGAGGAGGAGAAGGGGGCACCGCCTCTGGGACTCCCGGACTGCTTTTGAGTCGACTCAAAAGAGGAGGAGAAGGGGGCACCGCCTCTGGGACTCCCGGACTGCTTTTGAGTCGACTCAAAAGAGGAGGAGAAGGGGGCACCGCCTCTGGGACTCCCGGACTGCTTTTGAGTCGACTCAAAAGAGGAGGAGAAGGGGGCACCGCCTCTGGGACTCCCAGACTGCTTTTGAGTCGACTCAAAAGAGGAGGAGAAGGGGGCACCGCCTCTGGGACTCCCGGACTGCTTTTGAGTCGACTCAAAAGAGGAGGAGAAGGGGGCACCGCCTCTGGGACTCCCGGACTGCTTTTGAGTCGACTCAAAAGAGGAGGAGAAGGGGGCACCGCCTCTGGGACTCCCGGACTGCTTTTGAGTCGACTCAAAAGAGGAGGAGAAGGGGGCACCGCCTCTGGGACTCTCGGACTGCTTTTGAGTCGACTCAAAAGAGGAGGAGAAGGGGGCACCGCCTCTGGGACTCCCGGACTGCTTTTGAGTCGACTCAAAAGAGGAGGAGAAGGGGGCACCGCCTCTGGGACTCCCGGACTGCTTTTGAGTCGACTCAAAAGAGGAGGAGAAGGGGGCACCGCCTCTGGGACTCCCGGACTGCTTTTGAGTCGACTCAAAAGAGGAGGAGAAGGGGGCACCGCCTCTGGGACTCCCGGACTGCTTTTGAGTCGACTCAAAAGAGGAGGAGAAGGGGGCACCGCCTCTGGGACTCCCGGACTGCTTTTGAGTCGACTCAAAAGAGGAGGAGAAGGGGGCACCGCCTCTGGGACTCCCGGACTGCTTTTGAGTCGACTCAAAAGAGGAGGAGAAGGGGGCACCGCCTCTGGGACTCCCGGACGGCAGCAGATGATCCGCCACTCTGAACCATGGAGAAAGAGAACTCACAGCTTGGCAAGAACGCATGAGCAAGAAAGAGAACTTTCGATTGATCAAACTTGTGGCCGAGGGTCCAGGAGGAGGACACGAGCGGAGGAGTGAGTGAAGAGGAGAGGGGGGCACCACCCATGGGGCTCCCAGACGGCGGCAGGTGATCCGCCGCTCTAAACCGCTCCTTGAGCACACTCTCTGCTGACAGTCTAAGGAGAGCGATGTTTTTTTTTTTACAGTCTAGGGAGATCGAAGAGCAGAGAGGAGGGCAGAGGGACAGCCTAGGGAGAGCGAGTAACTCACGACTGGTCGAACTTGTGACCGAGAGTCCAGGAGGATGACACAAGAGGCGGGGTGAGGGAGGAGGAGAGCGGGGCACCCATGGGGCTCCCAGACGGCAGCAGGTGATCCGCCACTCGGAACCGCTCCTTGAGCACACTCTCCGCTGATAAAGCTTGCACTTCCTCTGTGAGGTTGTGCAGCTGAATCTCCTCAATGTACAGCCGTGGGCTGTACCGCCCCTCCATGCCCAACTGCCCTGCAATATCCCGTACTCGCTTCCGGTCCTTGCCCTGGACCTGCAGGGACAGAAGGCAGAGGTGGGACGTGGTGGGAAGGGGTGGGAAGTGGTGGGTGGGTTGTGCAGCTGAATCTCCTCGATGTACAACCGCGGGCTGTACCGCCCCTCCATGCCCCACTGCCCCGCTATCTCCCTGACTCTCTTCCGGTCCTTGCCCTGCACCTGCAGAGGGATGAAGGGACAGAAGGCAGGGGTGGGAAGTGGTGGGAAGTGGTGGGAAGAGGTGGGAAGTGGTGGGAAATGGTGGGAAGTGGAGGGAGCTGAGGATAGTACAGCCGTGGGCTGTACCTCCCCTCCATGCCCAGCTGCGCTGCTATCTCCCTCACTCGCTTGCGGTCCTTGCCCTGGACCTGCACGAATGGAAGGGAGAGAGGGCAGAGGTGGGAAGTGGTGGGGAATGGCGGGGAGCGGTGGGTTGTGCAGCTGAGTCTCCTCGATCTACAGCCGCGGGCTGTACCGCCCCTCCATGCCCAGCTGCGCTGTTATCTCCCTCACTCGCTTGCGGTCCTGCACCTGGTGGTGGGAAGGGAGAGAATGCAGAGGTTTTGAAGAGGGAGGGGGAGGTTGTGCAGCTGAATCCCTTCGATGTTACTTCTGTGATGTGAACACCTGCCACTGCTTCCCTTCCCTCACACCCTCACCCTCTCTCAACGCCCTCTACTCCCGTCTCACCTGCATGAACGTCTTCTTGATCTGCTTGAGGCGGTCCACCTTCACTATCACATGCTGCTTGTCCCATCGCCATCTCGTAGGATGAAAACGCGCGACTCCCTGCGGAGGATGTGCGCCATCTCGTAGTCCAGCGCCATGAGCCCCCCCAGCCCATTACCACTACCAGCCCGTGCCAGAAATTCCTAATCTTGATGCCTAAGCTGCCCCTGCTGCCCCTGCTGCCCCTGCTGTCCCCGCTCACCTGCATGAACGTCTTCTTTATCTGCTCGAGGCGGTCGACTTTCACAACAATGTGCTGCTGCTTGTCCCTGAAAACGCGCGACTCCCTGCGGAGGATGTGCGCCATCTCGTAGCCCAGCGCCATCAGCCCCCCCAGCAGCCGCACACTCACTTCGAAGGTGATGCGCGGGGTTATCACAAAGGGACCGTCTGTGACGCACTCCTGGCGAGGAGGGAGTTGTGGGGGAGGGCGTGTTTGGAGTCAGGGGTAAAGGGGGCAGCACCCGCACACTCCCTTCAAAGGTGATGCGTGGGGTTATCACTAAGGGGCCGTCTGTCACACACTCCTGGCGAGGGGTTTGGGTTTGCAGGCCAGAGAGGGAGGGAGGAGGTGGGGAGGGAGGGAGGGAGGGAGGGAGCGAGGGAGGGAGGGAGGGAGGGAGGAGGGGAGGGAGGGAGGGAGGGAGGAGGGAAGGGAGGGAGGGAGGGAGGAGGGAGGGAGGGAGGAGGGAGGGAGGAGGGAGGGAGGGAGGGAGGGAGGGAGGGAGGGAGGGAGGGAGGGAGGGAGGGAGGGAGGGAGGGAGGGAGGGAGGGAGGGAGGGAGGGAGGGAGGGAGGGAGGGAGGGAGGGAGGGAGGGAGGGAGGGAGGGAGGGAGGGATGGAGGGAGGGAGGGAGGGAGGGAGGGAGGGAGGGAGGAGGGAGGGAGGGAGGGAGGGAGGGAGGGAGGGAGGGAGGGAGGGAGGGAGGGAGGGAGGGAGGGAGGGAGGGAGGGAGGGAGGGAGGAGGGAGGGAGGGAGGGAGGGAGGGAGGGAGGAGGGAGGGAGGGAGGGAGGGAGGAGGGAGGGAGGGAGGGAGGGAGGGAGGGAGGGAGGGAGGGAGGGAGGGAGGGAGGGAGGGAGGCAGGGAAGTAGGGAATAGAGCGTTGGAGTATGGGGTAATGAATGCCGTCTGTCACACACGATTGGTATACCCTTGAAGGCCCAACGACCACCACCACTTAAAGCACGCTTATCGAACATGAGGAAGTAGCGCCCACCTCTATTGTGCATCCTCGCGTCCTCTTTACAAGCTGCCCTGCTTCTGTACCCTTGGTTGAACGACCTCACACACACTACCACCCAGAGGGCCATAGAACAGAACTGACCTCAAACATGAGGGAGTAGCGCCCGTCTCTGTTGCGCATTCTCAGGTACGACTGGCACGTCTCCTTGTCCTCCCCGGGCGGCAGCAGGTAGATGTCGTACGTCTCCTCGCTCTCCGAGCCTGCCACTGCCTCAGCAGACAGCACGGACCGGATCCGAGCCTCAGCTTCGGCAGGGTCGGATTCGGGTGCCTGAAGAAAAATCAATAACCAGGAGGAGAAGCAATGAAAGGAAAGGGGTTACTTCTCAGCTAGCAGCTAAGCAATGAAAGGGAACAAGGAAAGGAAGCTGAGCTTGAGTAGGAAAGGAGAAAGGTCACAGAATGCTGGGCAATGTGGATAATGAAGGGGGAAGGGGGGGGGACGAACGGGGAAGTGGGGGGACGAACGGTGAAGTGGAGGGACGAACGGAAAAACATAATCCAAGATCACAGGTCACAGTCCTACGCCTCACCACGTCACATCGCATCCCATACCACGCTTCACCCCACCACACACCCCACCACACACCCCACCACACCACACCGCACTGCACCACACGCACCGCACCGCACCACAGTCCACCACGCTGCACCTTGAGAATGTAAGTCGCGTCTTGGAACCCCGAGAACGGGTTGAACTTGTTGACAATCCGTATGTGTGCAGTCTGGAGATCCGGCTCTATGAACGCCTTATACATCGGGTACACCGTCTCAGAAATTTGGTGTATGATCTCCTCTGGCGCCTGCCCCGATCGGTCGATGTCCCGCAGCACTCTCTTAACGAGGTCAAAGTGTACTCCTCCCGTTATAGACACCCGCAAGTCGAGCAAAGGTCGGAGGCGCTCGCTGAGTGCGTAGATGCCTTCTATAATCACGATGCGCGACTTGGGGACCTTCACTTCTCTGCGAGGAAGCAGGGAGGGAGGGAGGGGAGTGGAGAGGGGTGGAATGGGGTGGAGTGTGGTAGAGTGGTGTGGAGTGTAGTAGAGTGGAATATAGTGGAGTGGGGTGGAGTGAAGTGGAGTGGGGTGGAGTGAAGTGGAGTGGGGTGGAGTGAAGTGGAGTGGGGTGGAGTGAAGTGGAGTGGGGTGGAGTGAAGTGGGGTGGGGTGGAGTGGCGCAGAGTGGAGTGGAGTAGGGTGAAGGGAAGTCTTCCACTTATCTAAAATGGGTCAGAATCGAAGGACATGGAGAGGCGTAGGACGGTACAGGGGCCCACTTGCATGTTGCTCTGAAAGTCATATACAAGCAGCAGCACCGTGCGACCCTGTCCCAGGGTATCTACCCGCATCTCACACTCACTTGTCGGCACCCATCTCTCAATTCCCCCTCACCGCCACCTTCACACTTCCTCCTCAGCTCAACCCCACTCGCGTGTTGCACTTGAAGTCATAGATCGGCACCTGCACTGTGCGCCCCTATTCCAGGGAGCCTGATCCCACCTCATACTCACATGCATGCACCTATCTCTCTCTTCTCCCTCACCATCACTTACTCCTCACCTGAACCCCACGCGCGTGCTGCACTTGAAGTCATATATCGGCACTTGCACTGTGCGACCCTCCCTCAGCCCCTGCAGGTTGCTCAGCAGCAGCTCGTAATCCGTAATTCGCGGGTCTGGGGAAAAAAAGGTTAGTAGAGGGTGTGACGGGAATAAACCCATGAATTTTGGTGATATTTCAGCCTGGCAGAAGCTCGTAGTCCTTGTTTCACAAGTCTATTTGCAAGAGAAAAGGGCTTGAGGGGGTGGGGGGAAGGAGGAGAGGGGTTGGAATGGAGATCTTGTTGTTGGGGCGAACGACAAACCAGTGAGTATGAATTCAGGTTTATGAATAAGGGGTGGAGGAGAGGCATTGAGAGAGGCAAACCTCGAGAGGACACATTCAGGCAGAGCCTAAGGCATGTCTCGGTTCTCACCATCAAAATTGCCATCAATGACGCGACTGGCCACGTTGTAGTTGTCCATAGATATTACCGTGATGCCAGGCATGAAGTTTAGGACCTGCAGCAGACAATAACGCGTACAGGGAGGAACCCAGGAGGACCATCTTGTGATCAGGCACAAGCAACGATGTCTGGCAATCAAGCAAGGCACACGCTACTCAACAACTCAACCCTCTCTATTGCAATGTCAGGATACATCATACAGCACTGGTGTGTTACTTACATTACATGTACTGAGTCGCACAACAACGGGGTTACATGTATGCGTAGAACGCTGACCTTAACCAAACCAGCAATACACTTGACAAATTTCTTAATCCTTCCGCTTCCTTACCTTGGGAATCCCGTGCACGAGATTTCAGGCCGCAGAATGGCCCGCCAGCCAAGGTAAGGCACTGAAACGTGCACGGGGTTTCACGGGGTAACCGCGGTTACCTTGAGAATCCCCGAAACGTGCACGGGGTTTCAGGGCGGCAGAATGGCGCGTGGCTATACCTTGGCGCTGAAGACCGTTTTGCCGGCGCCAGACGGGCCCGCTAGACCCACCAGGACCATGCCTTCGTTGTTCTGCCACGGTAGGCACGTACGGGCGGGAGATGTGGGCGGGAGGTGCGGGCAAGTGGTATGGGCGGGAGGTATGGGACGAAAGTACGGGAGGTAAGTACGAAAGAAGGTATAGGAAGGAAGTGTGGGAAGGTTGATGTGTGGGGTTTGCGGGAGGTAAGGGAGGGAAGGGAGGTCTACGAAGGCTGACAGGTGAATTTGAAAGGTGCGAGACGAATGCGGACGAGCGGACAGCAGCTATATAGGCGAGGGCAGCGACGGTGTCGGTTGGCGTCAGCGATGAGGTCAGCGATGGTGTCAGCTGTGGAGGTTTCGTCGAAATTCGGCATATCGACAGCAAAGATGGCGAGCCATGTGAAACGGAGTACTCGCAGGTAGAAATTCGAAAACTAGACTAGCCTTTTGAGGCGCCTCAAAAGTACTTGCAGGTTGAAATTCGAAAACTAGACTAGCCTGAAGCGATGATCGGCACACGTCTCTATCAATGCAGTCAGGATGGCATAGGACCCTAACAGCGCTTATCGTTGAGGGGATCCAAGAGCTGACAATAGTGCTGATCGCCGTCGATTGCGCAGATTATTCCGCTTATTGCTGCGCTGAAAGTTGTGCCAATCGCCTAATCGCGTTGTTCGTTGTTCGTTGCGCGGATCGCGGCGCCGATTGTTGCGACGATCGTTACTCTGGTCGTTACGCATCATCGTACACCTCCCGAAAGAACTGGAAGGAGCTTCTACGAATCCCTGATCTACTATCACCGTCGATCCTCATCTGCCGATCATCGTCGACAATCAGTATATGACCTCTGTGGAACGGAGCAAATCTGGACTGAATTTTGAGAGATTACCTGAGTTAGCAGCTGCACGGCTCGAATGAACAGAAAGAAGCCCTTCTCGAAGGATAGGGTTTCCGGGATCACCGCGATTTCCTTGCGCTCCTTGCCGTCCGGCGTCTTCCGCGCTACCAGCTGCAGCTGCTGCTTCAGCAGCCGTCCGCGCCGGTGCTGCTCCATGGAGATCGCTCCGCCGCGCGATGGAACCGACTGGCTCTCAACGGCCGTGTCGTAACTCATTCTGTCAGACTGGAAACTCTTTCAGATGTACCGTAAGCGGCACAGATCGAGGTTATCTGTGGCACAAGGCAGTCAGTCGAGTATTAGCTTGGGAAGCTGTACAGAGATTTTACGAACGAAACTCAGGTCAAGATTATCCAGAATGTTATCGAATTCCAGAAACCAAAGCTCGGGACAAGTCTCAGGTAAACGGTCACCAGAATATATTAGCTACAACCGCAGCCATTAGAAAAATTGCTGCTGAGACGCGAGCTCTGGAGTTAGGACTCAGGAACTACGAAAAGTGTCACTCCATGTCCTAGCCATGTCTCTCACCTACCCTGCTGTACCTAGAACCTGGAAGCGCGCCTTCCATTGACCGAACAACCAATGAAACCATTGACGCTGCCGCCCTTCCCACCTTTTCAGCTGCCTCGAGACTGTCGAAGCTTCAACAGACAGGCCAGGATTCAGGCAATGCGTGGCGGTGGATGCTTGTGTGGCTGGTACAGGAGGAAATTTGAGGCTCGCAGGGACCACAATCGGAATTCAAGCCAATTACAGTATTGCTTGATTTGAGGAACCAATCAAACCATTGACGCTGCCGCCAGCCTGACGTAGCGGTATCCACCTTCCGCCACGAAATGCATGTGGCGCACAAGGAAGTTGGGTTCTCGCTCAGGTTGAAGTCGCGGCGCAGGGTAGAATGGGAGCTCATCAGTTGAACTTTGAGCCGCCCGTACTTTCCCCTTTTTCATTGGTAAGGTACAAACTGCTCTAACGGGCATTTGTTTTAGTATCAGAGTATTCTAGGTTCACAACGGAACTCTGTCCAAGGCGCAAGATATGTATTCATTCGAATGATATTAATAGTACAAGGGGTTGAAAACTGGAGAGTACTTTATTCAGTAAAGAGTTACAAGTCAAAACCTAGAGTTGTTGCTAAAGCTAGATCCACTTGAGCTTCCACAGCAGCGCCTCCAGAGCAGCTCGACCGTCTTCTTGACCCCTCTTGGCCGTCAGAGGCAAATGCCCCTGACGTTTCACCCACGCACCACGATGAGGTGGGGGTCATTCGCGTGGGGCCTGTTTGGGAGGTGGGGGAAACGGTCAAATCTAAGGAAAGGGGCAGATGAATAAACACTTCAGACGATTCCCGTTTGTTGTCAGAATGGAGTTTGTCAGGATGACGGCCAGCCATCAAGAGGGAGAGGCGTACCTGGGCATACCTGACACCATACCAGCGCACCTAAACCCAACCCATCGCCCATGTGTGCCTATCAAGTGCCAAGCTAACACGCTCCTATCGATCTGTACCCACCAACACACCTTCAAACCCATCGCCCATGTGTGCCTATCGAGTGCCTAGCACGCTCCTATCGATCTGTACCCACCAACACACCTTCAAACCCACTCACAATATCATGCCGGGGTGCTCTGCTCCCTCCCGCCAAATCTGCGGGGAATGGCGGGACGAGAGGGGGAAATCAGATTCCCGCCTCGCTCCTTGCTCCGCGCTCCAGCTCCTCGCTCCAGCTCTATGCTCCACCTCCGTGCTCCGGCTTCTCCCCACTCCACGCCCCCGATACATGCAGCCTCCCTCCAGACTTCATTTCCTGCAGCACAGACGACGAAAAATAGGAGATAAGTAATTTACGAAACGAAACAGCGCGCCAAAAGCAACGACAGCTTACCACGAAGCTCCGCGCTCCGCCTTCCCGTCTTCCTGGTCTCCCTCATTCCTCCTGTTGTTGCTCCAAGCTGCTTCCGCTTCACTAAGAGTAACACGAGAAAGCATTAGATATACGGTAAACAAAAACAGCAAAACGGAATCAGAGGATTCTAACCGTGAAAGCGGCTTCTACCGCTGGTGCCGTTTGCCGTTGCTGTGGACGGTCGGTGTAGTCGTTGTCGTCGGATGGGGCAGTGCAGCGGGAGGTGGGCGGAGAGGGAATGGGCTGGGGCTACCCTTCCCCCTCCGCCGCCCCGCTCGCACAACCCCGACGCTTCTTGTCTTGCTTGAGTTCGTGAAACACTGCCCACACATGGCGATGCCACGCGTCACGGCACCAAGGCGGAGAGGAACGGAAATTTGACGAGCAGAAAGGCGACGACGGGACGAACAGCAGAGAGAAGCGCCGCCAAGCGCCGTGCTCAGATGCGCCGCGCTCCGAAGCGCCGCGCTGCGCCGTGCTCCGATGCGCCGCGCTGCGCCGTGCTCCGATGCCCCGCCGCGCGCCCATGAGACGCCCCCGAAGATGCGTCGCCGCGAGCTCCCTCCGACTCCCGCTTCCGCTGCGCTAAGAGAAAGGAACACACAGATAGAGATTAGTTTCATAATCAAGAAAAAAACTTAACGGAATTAGACTGCACTTACCAGGCAAGGGAGAACCTCCCCCCGTTACCTCCTTTGTTCGCCGCCGTCCCCGCGAGTCCCCACTCCCGCTTCCGCTGCGCCAAGAGAAAGGAACACAAAGATAGGAATTAGTGTAATAATAAAGGAAGAAACTAAACGGAATTTGACTGCACTTACCAGGCAAGGGAGAACCTCCTTTGTTCGCCGCCGTCCCCGCGAGTCCCCACTCCTGCTTCCGCTGCGCTAAGAGAAAGGAACACAAAGATTTGAATTAGTATCATAATCAAGGAAAAAGCTGAACGGAATTAGACTGCAGTTACCAGGCAAGGGAGAACCTCCTTTGTTCGCCGCCGTCCCCGCGAGTCTCCCGCTTCCGCTGCGCTAAGAGAAAGGAACACACAGATAGGAATTAGTATCATAATCAAGGAAAAAACGTATAAGGAAATTAGACTGCACTTACCATGGCAAGGGAGAAACCTCCCCCCGTTACCTCCATTTCTCGCCGTCCGCGCGAGCTCCCACCCGCGAGCTGCCACCTCCGTTATTCCCGCCGGCTCCTCCTGCGCTGAAGGCAAGAAACATGAAAGCCACCATTAGATTTCGAAGAGGAATAAACTTGACTAAATTCGACGGTACTTACCAGAGAAGAGGAGAGGAAGAGCTAGCTCTTCTTTACCTCCGTTACTCGCTGTAGTTGCTACCGTGTTGCCTGCTGCACTAAGAGGAACACGAAAATAGGCGTTAGATACTCGGTAAAAGAAACAGCAAAACGAAATGAGACAATTCTTACCGTGAAAGCCGCCGGGGTTTTTACCGTTGTAGTCGTTGCTGTAGGAGGTCGTTGACGGGTCGCTGACGGTCGGTGTAGTCGTTGTCGCCGAATGGGGCAGTGGAGCGGGAGGGGGGGCGGAGAGGAACGGGCTGGGGCTACCCTTCCCCCTCCGCCGCCGCCCTGCCCCAACCCCGCTCGCACAACCCCGCAGACTTTGGAGTCTTGCTCTTCTAACTGCTCACACATGGCGAAGCCACACGTCATGGCATCGCGGCAGAGAGGAGACCGACGAAATGGAATGCGAAACCCACGAAACGAAATTCGACCGCGAGATGGAAAAAAATAAATACCGCCAAGAGAGAAGCGCCGTGGAGTCCCGCCTTCGCCCGCGAAACGCGCCTCCGCCCGCGAGACACGCCTCCGCGAAACGCGCTTGGCCCGCGAGACGCGCCTTTCGCCCGCGAGACGCGCCTTCGCCCGCGAGACACGCCGTGCGACCGTGAGGCGACGCCCAAGAAGCGTCGCCGTGCCTCGCGCCACGCGTCCATATCCTTGCTTCCTCGCCACGCGTCTCCATGTGTCGCCATCCGTCCTCGGTCAGCCTCTGCAAGTTACCGAGAAGGAGAAAGAAGGAGAAATAAGAACATACGAAATCGAATAAGAACGAAATCGTCGAGAACAAGGAAGGAGAATTACGAGTAAGGGAGAACAAATCGAAGCCGCCAAAAGAAACGCAGGAAAGGTCTTCAGCACTTTACTCGAAGAGATCCGCTACCGTCGGCGACGGACGAAGTGATGCCAACCGTCGCCGGCCGCTTGCGACGTGACGCCATCGACGGTAGAGTTCACGCGACGCCACGTGTCTTCGTCGCAGAGCAAGCGTTCACACGACCAGAGAAGCACCACCTTCGGTCGCCAAGGCGGTCGCCGAGACAGTCGCCGCGACAGTCGCCGAGACAGTCGCCGAGGTCTGCGGGAAGAAGGAAATATACGTAGATTAGTACTAGGAATGATAAAGAAGAAGACTTGAAAGTAAACTCGAAAGTAATGACAGTTTGAAGTAGGCTTTACTCACCCCGACAATCATCACGTCTCGGAGCATGTAGGCTCGGCGAATGTCGGCTTGGCACACAGGTGCTCTGGCGACGTTAAGCGTCCTCGATGGTAGGCTTCTTCCCCACCTTCGGTCGCCGAAACGGTCGCGCAGGCCTGCAGGAAGAAGGCAGTACATTAGTACAATCAAATATTAAAGGACGAGAACGAAAAGTTGACTTGTAAGTAGACTTTACTCACCCCGACTCCTTGACAAACATCTGTACGCGTCTCGGCGCATGTCGGTCCTCTTGCGGCTTGAGACGGGCCATCGACGGGAAAAGCTTCGTTGAAGGTAGAGTCCTCGTTCACGTGACTGGCGGTCAAGACGGTCTGCAGGGAGAAGACGGAAAGTACACGTTAGTACACGGAAAGGCTAAAGAAAACGAAGACGGAAAGTAAATTCAAAGTAGAAGGCTTCACTTACCTTGACCTGGACGGCGAGGGACTCGGCGAGCGTCAATGGCGTCAGTGGCATCAGTGGCGTCAATGGCGTCAATGGCGTCAATGGCGTCAGTGGCGTCAATGGCGTCAATGGCGTCAATGGCGTCAATGGCGTCAGTGGCGTCAATGGCGTCAGTGGCGTCAATGGCGTCAGTGGCGTCAATGGCGTCAATGGCGTCAGTGGCGTCAGTGGCGTCAATGGCGTCAGTGGCGTCAATGGCGTCAGTGGCGTCAATGGCGTCAATGGCGTCAATGGCGTCAGTGGCGTCAATGGCGTCAGTGGCGTCAGTGGCGTCAGTGTCGTCAATGGCGCCAGTGGCGTCAATGGCGTCAGTGTCGTCAATGGCGTCAGTGGCG